CAAAGGCTTGCGCATTGGAAAAAAGCGATGAAGTTCTTGGACATTCCCCCAAGCGCGGTCAGGCTTCTGCTGATCTCCAGTGGTCTGGCCATCACAGCCGCAGGTCTGATGATAGGGGCCATGATCGCAGGCGCAGTGGCCGGCCATGGTATGGGCCTGGGCAACTTCGGCACGCTGACCTATGCCATGGGGCCGGGAGTGTATGGATTCTTGGCGCTGGTATAGGAATGCACATTCTTGGGATGTGTTCAACTTCCATGAGGCCATGGTCAGACTCAGGTGCCATCTTCCAGATTGTTATATGTCTGCTGGGTGCAGCTTTGGCCACATCCGCTTGGTCTGGGACTCGGCATGCCTTGCAGTGCTAGCAGAAGGCGGTAGCAGCGGACGTGTGCGGGAGCTCAGGAATGACCTTAACCATCATCACAAGGTTCTACGGCACATGGAGGCTGGCTCCCAGGTGTAGTGGGGGTTGCTCCAGCTGCAATTAATTACAGCGCACAGTACAGGACAAGGCTGCCGCTAAAACGCGTTGGCTAGGTCGAACTCGCGCAGTGGATAGTAGAACTTCATTTCAAGTAGATAGGTGTAAAGTAGTTTGGTGTCAGTGCGGTGGCAGGGCGTTGCACATTGCATTGTTTAGTGCTCGTTCCAGTTCCTGCTGCTTGTACAGATTGAAGTCCTTGCTTGGCGCGTAGCTGCACTGTAGAGTCTTGATGCCAAGCGAGAATTGATGCTTGCGTTTGATGTGGCGGTTCCGGAAAGAGTCCATCATAAACCACTTCGCACAGTTTGGCTGATGCATGCAACCTCGAATCCCTTGACCAGACTTACCTCATCCATAAGGCCATAAGGTCCCTTTCTAAACCCCAGACACAATTCAATATCACTTTCACTCGTGCGCTGTTTCCACTGCTCATTCTAGCTCCTGACCCTGGGGCTTGCCCCATGCGCCTTGACGCCATGGAGAGCAAGGACAGCCCACTTTTGATGGGTGCTTGGATATCGGAGAGACAGCGAAAGGGGTCTCTCTATTCGCGCGTGAAACCACAGCATGGGAACCCCCAAGAGGGACCTCTACATGGTCACCATCTTTAGAAATTCCATGTCACCATAACAGCCACGACAATCATTACGGTTGTGACAATCATGGCTATCATGACTGTCATTACCATATTCTGCACTTGCAGGGGTTGTGATTCTGAGGGGGCGCCAGGACCGCTTGGCTACGCCGCTGCTCCGTCGCAAGCCGCCACCTCTTGCTCCACTCTATGCTGTGGCTTGGTAGGACATTGGAGAGTGCATGGATTGCTTTGTGTCAATGAGGGTCCCCTATAAGGCCATGTTAGGGAGCATTGATAGTCCTATCATACCGACCATCTTACCGACCTCACCCCAAATGGTGATTGACATAGCAAACATTCCCAAATTGACTTGGTTTCAGGTGCTGACGTGCTTTTTTCCTTACCAAGGAGGTGTGGGCTCTTTCATGACCTTTGTATGGCAGTTTCCCAAGAAGGGGGGGAACCCAATATAAACCCTATATACCATAACCCTCATTATGGGGACACCCAAAGAGGTACCCCTAATTTTGGGAAACCCCCGTATCAGAAAGTTGCCACATTGATACCCAGAGCCAGGGGCCATGCTTACTGGTGGTTAGTAGGGAGTACGGAATATGATCCCGATATCATCCCTAGATAATGGATTCCCTTATTCCCTACTAACCCCAAACCCCAAACCCTCTATATATAGATATTATACATACATATGTGCATGTAAATAGTAAAATACATAAGTACATTGTACAAATATATATATATATATATCATACCACATATCATATATATATATGTATATGTAACATATGTATGTATGTATACATATCTGCATCCCCTTATTACCTAGTAACCACCGGTAAGAATGTAGCGGTCCAAGCTTGGGACTGCAAGGTCAGCCTCTTGCGAACGCTGCTGGGTTGCATCGGCGGGACAATGCTATGGGTTTAGGGTTTGGGGTTTAGAGTTTAGGGTTTAGGGTTTAGGGTTTGGGGTTTAGAGTTTAGGGTTATTTTATTCTGATTATTGTTATTATTGCTGTTATTACTGTTATTATTTTTTTTACTTATTATCATAAGGATTATTTCCACGATTGCTATCGTTATCGTCATTGATGATTATTTACGTTTGGTGCCAAGTGAAAGAGGGGAGAGTATTCCACGAAAAGCTGGAGAGATGCATTCTGCCGAGTTGCCCGCTTGACCATGGTTGGTAGTCGTTGGAAAACTGAGATTGTCCAAGGACAGCAACTGCAGTTGCTATGATGCCGGCGTTCAATCTAAGAGCGCCTGAGCAAGCCAATAGAAGGCGAGAGGTGCAGCTTCCACCCTTAGGCAGAATATTGGGTAATATTGGGGTTATATTTGGGTTATAGGGGAGTTATAGGGGATAATGGAAGGGAAAATGGAAACCACTATTTAGGGGAAAAGGCGAGGTTTCCACCTGAATGTGCCTTTGCAGTCTTGGAACGCATTTGTCCCAGGAAACATTTGAACTGAGGTTGTATCCTTAGGCGAGGCAGCAGGCTACGACACTGCCGCCGTGGCAAATGCCATGGGCCGCGCGTCGGCAGAGAGCCTGCTTAGAAGTTGGGAGACACAGGTTTTTCTGCCTTGACATCCTTTGGCAGCTCTCTCTCTGCCCTTGTGCGGTCAGCAGTTGCATGAATTCCTAGTTTAGCAGGCATCTCTACGCAAATCCTAGTCCCCGAGATTGATGGGGTGTTTTCAGAGAGCCCGCTCACACGGTCCTTATTCTGTCTTCTGAAGTGTCCTACTAATTGGACCCTGACCTCAGGTCTGATCTCAGCCCTGCGTAGCTTCACGGAGTTTACAGCGGCTCCGTTGCTAGCTTCCTGGTCTGACCGCATTGGCCGGCGGCGCGTGCCGCGGCTTTCCGCTGAGGTTGTAGCCTGCTTAGCCAGATACCAGTACTATCATTTTTACGTAATATGGTAATTCCTATGAATTGGTGGTAAGTCCGTTGTACTAATACTTTTCATTAGGACATATTTGCACCATGAGTGGGCACCTTTCAGCAACGAAGGCATCATAGGTGTGTCTGAATGTTTGAGTGCACTTTTTTTTCAAGATCTTTGTTGCAATGACGTGCTTCTAAGTCGCGCAGCATCCTCATTTGACATCGGAGCAGGTACCGGCATCGTATGGTGTAGCCCATGCTGTTGTCTCCAGGTAGTTTTGGTAGATCGCCGGATCAAAGGTGATCTTGGCCTCTGCTCTTGCCTTCACACTGGAAGCGACGCTTATGGCGGCACCTTGCCAGCTGATATGGGAAACACTCTGGGAGACTAGAAAGGTAAACACACATTGTTCTCATCACCACCCCCGCCACCGCCACCACCACCACCACCACGACCACTACTACTACGGCGATGACGACTATTACTACTACTACTACTACCACTACTACTACTACTACTACCACTACTACTACCACTACTACTACCACTACTACTACCACTACTACTACCACTACTACTACACTATTAGATATTTGCTTGTCCAGGTCTCCTCTGGGCTAGTCATGATGGGAGCGGCGCACGTCACTTTCGGCCTCTTCGCTTCGGGAGGAGCTGTTGAGACAAGCTGCATCGCGGCCCGGAGCTCAAGCGTCGGATCCGGATGATCTCGGCCATGGATGGGCCATGGAGGTTAGAATGAGCTGCTAAGGACACCACGCCAGCGGGCCCAAAGCGTGCTGTGGCAGTTGGGCGCTTCTTCACGGTGTCCTGGCCGCAGCTGGTGGCGTGGAGTTCGGCAGAGGGCCTCCAAGAGCAAGGTCATCGGCGCAGCCCTGGTTCTTGGGCCCGCCCTGGGTGGAGCATTGCTCGCCCGCGTTGGAGGCGATGCAGCTGCAAGAGCCCTTGATAGACGTTGAGGTGACTTCCTGTTGTACCTTGGATGTCGGCAGCATGTGCAGACTCAGCAGTGCTGGCTTTGCAGGTGCGGCGCCTTTTGCCTGTGCAGCTAGCCTGGGTTTGGCGGCGCTGATAGCGACAGCCGTTGCGCTTCCTGCACCATGTCTGAAGTCCTGGAGCACTCACTGCCAAACTGCAAGCGATGGCATACAAGGAGAGCTATCCCTCAGTTTTTCCGTGAATAAGGAGTACCTCCCTCCTTCAAAGAGGGCCCCCAAGGGGTCGGCGCCGATGCTCCCCGCAGCTGGAGCATCTCAGCCCGGTTGGGAATTCGTTCACAAGGGGACAAGCAGATCACGGGGCTGCAGGTTTTCCTGCTGCTGTCCAGAACACCCCCGCTACGGTGGTATGCAGCTGCTTCAGGACTCCCCAAGTCCCTGCGTGATGATTTGCAGCAGCTGCTGCCTGCAGGCCTCTTCAGTCTAGGCATGGCGCTGTATGGCACAGTCAACGTCCTCTGGCTGAAGGAGGCCCGGTCGTGTTGACAATGTGAGTCCAAGATGTTTTTGTGAGAAGGGGATATGGTGGAAAGTGGCAAGTCAGGCATTCGGCTGGGATGGTCAGGATGTTGGCTGCTGCCCCAGGTATTATTGTAACCGCTGCTGCAGCAACATTGCTGTACTCAAATGGGTTTTGGTGTCGCAGCGTGATAACTGCATGTTGCAGGGCGCACATCGATAAGAATCCGCAGAGATGTTCTAAGGCCACTTCCTCTCAGCCGTTGGGGCAGCAGTGATAACGTCCCAGGCCACATGAAGACTTCAGTTGCCGTATTCCACCAAGTTTTTGTGGGGCCTGCGCGCAGCAGCGTCTGCCGTGCAGCAGGTCTTAGTGCTGCCTGGCGTTCTGCGCATCTCAAAGGGCCGCGAGTCCTTGGTGGTGCAAGGCATGGCTCATGGTGCATGCAGGAAAGCCATGGGCCAAGCTCAACGACTCCTGAGGCGCTATGATGGTCCATGCCTTCAAGTTCATTGGCTATGCTTGGGCGCCGAGCGGCAAGTGGGTCTACTTGGTCCTTGTCCTCACCCCAGCCTGTTCTGCGACAGTTATTTGTTAAGTCGTTCCGTTCCCAGAGGTGTTTGCAGGTTGCATGGGGTCCGTCACTAGCCTACATAGACTGGGAAAAATGCTTGCTGTTTTCGACGTTTAAGTCAGGCGAACTTGTTAAAATGTGTGGCATGAATCAAGGTCAGAATGCTGCCAGCGGAGGAACATCTACTCTTACGAGAAGCTTTAAGTACAAGTTCACTTCATCTTCATGCAGCTACAGGGGTTAAGGAGCTTCAACCAAGTCAACATAACAAGGAAAGTCTGTCAGTGTTCTATATCCATATTATGGTACCTGAGTTTAAGTTCTTTCGCAGCAGCCCATATTCATCATGCTCAACATACTGCTTCAACTGCAGCGGATGCCTTGCCCAGGCACTTTCCACTCCCACATTCTGCGCTGCCCCTGTTCTCTCGAGCTGCCGGCCTCAGTTTGCGCTTGGTTTGGCGCTTGGCGTTTCCAAAATAATGAGGCCATGTCTGGCATCGTTAGGCCTCGCAGTAAAGTCATACTAACAATGTTTTAAATAATAGTCCTTTCAAATTATAACGCTAGTAATACCAACAGTACAATGATATTGGAGACTGCAGGCCTGTGCAGCGCACTCCATCTGAGGCCTTTGCACTCGGCACGTTCCTTCCACGCAGCAGGGCCTTTGGTCCTAGACCCAGTCCGAGTGACTTACTCTGACTCCACTGAAAAGCCAGATGGGCTACTATGATTTCAAGTCCGGGTCCTTGGTTTCTTGGAGCCCCGATGAGGGCCAGGATCATGATTGCGATCAATACCGAAGTGGTGTGGATTAGTTCAGAACACTTCTCGCTGTCGCCGACCCGTAATCAGGTCCGGCAGCATGTCTGCCTTGAATACAGCCGCCAATGTGGTGGGTTCTGAGCTGAGAAGTGCTTCTGCACCTCACAATTTTGAAGAGGGATGCTAGTGTTTCGTATTAGGCTTTGACATCGGAGTTGCTAGAATTAAGGACGCCCCCCAAATAGACAATGGATGACAACGACATATTCTCATCCTCATTTTTTCAGGGACCCATCCAAAAAGGGGCATAGGCATCAAACAATAACTTGATGAGGCATCAAGAAAATTTGCCAGGCATCTAAGAATCATTTGCCAAGCATCAAAAAATGATGTGAGTCGCAGTCGCTCTTGTTCTTATCGGTATTGCTAGCAGTATGCCTAATATACTGTGAGTACTACTACTCCCCATTCATTTTGTTCTTGCTAATGTATAGTACGGTTACCCTCAATTTTTTTCGTGATGCTTATCAAATTAGTTTTTAGTACCGTGCGGAAGTTTTTTTTTTCATCCATGCTTATCAATTTTTTTTCTTGATGCGTCACCCCGGCCAAAAAGGGACCCTTAGTATCCGGAAAGCGCCAGATCCCTTTCCTGCCTTTGGGAAGGTGCGCTGATAGGATCCAGGCTGCTGGCAGTGTCTCTCCGAGGGCTTCTTGGTCCGCAGTAAGGGTTTCAGGGTTCAGGGTTTAAGGGTTTAAGGGTTTAGGGTTTTAGGGTTCAGTTGCAAAATGGTTCTAGGGTTTAAGGTTTTAGGGTTTAGGGTTTTGGTTGTTAGGGTTTAGGGTTTTGGGTGCAGGGATTAAAACAGAACCTGGGATGCTAGAGAGTTCTGACAGCCTCTAAGGTTCCTCCCTCTGGGGTCTCCGCTTTATGCCGGCGCATTGTCAGATCCTCAGCTTCGCTGAACATCGGGACCTTGCCGCCAGAAAGGTGTTGCAGTCCCAGAAGCCTCTGCTTCCCTGCCTGTGGTAGATGAGGTGTCACATGCTGGCTGCCCTATGCGTTGGTTGCGCGAGTTTCTCCACGATGGAAAAGAAGGCTTTCCTGAGCACTTCTCATGGCAAAACCCGCACGGGTCTGCTACAACTCGGAAGGTTGAGGACCCGGAAGAGTGCGTGCCAGCCACCAGCTCAGCTGCGAGCAATTTCAGGTGACATATGAAGACGAAAGACCTTGTGCTGGGATCCAGGAGTCACTTCCTGGTGCCTGAACGCACTCGTCCAGATGAATGCTTTGAAATGACTTTGTGGCTTAGCACTCGGCACCCAAGAGGTGAGCTGACTAAAGCAGCCGAATGATGGTTAGCAGCCACTTCTCAGACATTTTGCATCAAGGATCCCGGAGCAGGATCCGCTTTATTCAGCACAGATGCCTGACATCAGGCAGCAGGCCCCCTGGCTCTGGAAGTGGAGGCGGACGGGGCTTCCTCATGTCCTGGTCAGATTCATCATTCCTAAGAAGCGATCCCCATGTGTATCCCTAACGGTCCTCAGGGGGCTGTTGGCCAGGGCTTCAGGCAGGAAGGGCTATGCTGCAGTGTACAGAGGGGCAGATCGGATCTGCAGCTTGCGCTATGGTAGTTGGAAGGCATCACCGTTGAAAGGTTGCTTATCATGTACTCCTAGGGGGATGACCTCTCGCGAGCTTAATCCAAAAATCTTCAGCCCGAAGAGGGCTTCCTGGTTTCCCTGCTTACAGTTTTCGATCACTGCAGGCACCATTCGGCCTGCAAATCAGATGCTTGTATAGCTTTACATGCTTGGAGCTTTTGTCATCCGAGCCAGTGGGCGAAAGACGGGCCCGAGCCTGAAAAAACTGTGGCGGCCCCGAAGCTACTCGCCCTTTCTCTCTGCCGTCAACGGCCCTTGGCGGGCCCCAGTCGAATGCCAGTCGCACGAGGTCTAAGACCGGCCTTTGGCGGAGAACATGGGAAGCGTGCCAGATGCAGACGCAGCAAAATCGCTGCAAAAAGCTGAGCAGACGCGTACCGCATGAGATGAAAGATTGCTTGCACATGCATTCGAACAGCAAGAGAAGTGCACCTTGCGCATGGCATCTTTCTGTAGCTGACACTGCGCTTTCCCCGTCACTTGCTGAACACCTCAGGATGGCAGTCGTAGGCAGCATCTTAGGCCCGGTTAGGCGTTGCACTCGAAGAGTTGTAGTACTCAAGCACACGCAGGCCCATCTGGCCGAAAATTTCCAGGCTGAAGATTTGCAGTAGAACATCTTTAGTTTCTCGGGTCTCCATGGGGCAGGTGCCGGAGGCTACCCGTAAGCTTTCCTCAAGCTGCTAAGAAGTACCTGGGCACCTGCGAGGTGGATCCTCACGTTGGTGGCAAGCCACATCATGCCAGTTGCAGTGCCAGACTGGCTGCAGAGCTGAGTAGAGGCTACGCGTGGAGCGGAATGGTAGTGCCAGTGCATGTTGGCGCGTGTTGGTGGTTTGAAGGAATTCGTATCAAGGGTCCTTAGTGTAGGGATGCTAGCATTTTGGAGTATATAAGAGGAACTTGCGTAAAACGCCCTTGCGTTGTCCGGATCTGCAGGCCACTGGCGAGAACGCTGGCAAGCAGCATCCGGCCTTGTGCAGCAAAGCGTGGCTTGTCTACAGCCCTGCTTTGATGCCAACTATTTTGCTTCAATTCAGTATACATATATACACATATAATATCACATATGTAAATATATACATATTATTATATGGTTGTCAGAGTCTCGTGTTGGCATTCTAGGTGGACCGTGACTCCTGTGGCCAGACCGTAGAGGCTTCATCGCTTCCTGTTGTTGCCTGAGCGTTTGTCACCAGATTGCAAGACATTTCAAAGTGTGTATATATATATACACAGTATACATACACAAACACACATATATATAGGGATATACAGGGTTTGGGGTGTAGGGTTACCTTTGGTTAGCTGGGAATGAAGGAATGGAAGAGAAAATTGCCATAATGGCTAGCTAACCAAAGGTAAGAGTAATTGGGCTGGTGTATGTGGACTACCACCAGAGATGTGAGCTCTCAAGCCGTACAGCCTGTAGCTTCGTTTGCCAAGCCTAGCTAGAAAACAGAATCGCGCCATGTGGCAAGCACGTGTGCTTAGCGTCTTGCTGGGAAGCCTTCATTTGCTTTCAAGTGAAGCTGTCCGTGGATCCACAGACTTGGAGAAGCTTGGGCGGTGCCATGCTGTTGCATGCACCTGTGCAATCAAGGAGGCTGCTTTCGGCTCGCACGCTTGTGTCAGTGCCGAATATCCTGTGGACGACAAGACCACTGAGGGCGAAGCTGTCGAGAATTGCAAGACGTCATGCAAGGAGCACTGCCAGAAGCTGTCGCCGGGTGTTGAGATCGAGTCTCACTGCACTGCGCACAATCACCCCGATGCCTGTGAAGGGGTGGAGGTGGCCTGCCTTGGGCTCGAACACTTGGACCAAGAGGAGGAGGATGATGGCAACATGTTCGGTCGCTGAAGAGGCGCTCCACTGATCTCCACTGGTGCGAACTGCGAAGGATTCCAAAATGGCCGTCAAATATTCCTGCAGAATCCTGTCTGTGAGTGTTGGATTGCAGTGGGAGAGCTTCAGGCGAGTAGTCAAACCTGTTTGGAGGCCATCGTGCCGTTCTTGGAACACCAGCGTTGGCGAACTCGCGGCGTCCCCGGCTAGCGCCAAGCGGCTGAAAGCTCCACATCAGAGTGGAGCAGTTGTGTGATTGCAACCCACGATGCCGTCAGCAGTCTACAAGCTGTCCACCTGTTGTTAGCATGTTCTCGTTTGATCGCTGCCGATGTGTGGCTCGGACATGTGTGCAGTGAGGGCATATGCGTGGTGTCAATTGATAGTGTGCAGGGACTACACTTACCCGTTTACGGAAGTCTCCCATTCCCTTCTCAGATGCATCTCTCAACGTTTCAGCGAGCACGTGCTTCGTTTCAACTTACGAGTGTAACGAGTGTACATTTAGTTAGCTTGTTGCCGGCACAGTGTAGCCAGCAGAAGGCAGGAAGGAGTCCACTTGTACAAAGTGAAGGCCGTAGCCTGTGCAACAGGCCTGGGCAGAGACTCTTCAAGCTTGTGTTTGAGATTGTCTGTGTGAAGGTGCAGCATTCCATTTCAATTCCTGTCACTCTCAAGAGTCATCGGTGTTATGTTGGTGTTTTTCCGTCTCCTGGAATTCAGAAGATCTTTCCACGTACCTCAGCGGAGCGTCGCAGCATCCATGCCTACATAAGATCTTCCACATTGCAAAGGGATCGCAAACAGGGCCCAGCAGTTTTCAGACATCTGCACACGGAAGGCAGCTAGTAGCACTCGCGTATTCGTCGCAAAAGTACTTGGACTTTCGTTTTTTCTTCCGGGTGTTCAGGCCAGAAGCTGCAAAATCTAAAGCACGAAGAATCCTGAAAACTTGAGTTGTATCCGAAGGCAAGGCCTAAAACCTCGAGGAACCTGAAATATGGCACACACCATCACTCCGTAATGTTTCACATGCCCCCAATGTGTATCTCAGTATATCATACATATACACATCTACATGTAGGGGACACTCAATACACTCAATCCACTCTCTCTCTCTCTCTCTCTCTCTCTCACACATCAACCCACCCAGCCCCTAACAATAAACGGTTGGGGGCTTTATCATTAGGCGGAGGAATTGACACTACACCGTAAACCCCATACCTAGGCCTAGTTGGAACACAAGGTCCCATACAAATAAACAAGTCGAATTTCTAAAAAATGGGGGCACTTTTTTTGGTGTTTTTTTCATATAAGTGCAATATTTTAGGGTTCCCCTTGTTTATTGCAACTACCAAATCCTTCAGAACAGGCCATGGCCGAGGAAGCGGCGTCAAAGGCTGCCGTAAGCCTCGCTGGCCGCTCAACAAGAAGGTTGAGGGTTGAAGGGTTTAGATTTGACAGTTGCTCAAGTCCGGTTGGGTGTTGAGAGAGACCTGGGTTGAACAAAGGGTTTAGGGGTTTAGGGTTTAGGCGTTAAGAGTTTAGGGTTTGGGCGTTTGGGGCTTAACACTTTAGGCTCAGTCCCAAGGCCTATATGGGGTCAGCTAAACAATAGCGGTTCTATAGGGGATACTAGCCCAAGAGTGGAAATTATGCAGGGTTCCTGCAGGTTTGTATAATACTGGACAACACCGGGGAAATTGTTTCTACAATCGCCTTTCGACTCGTGACAAAGATAACAGCAAGGATACTGTACCTGCAAAGTATTCGTATGATAGCCAAACCCCCAACCCTAAACTCTCATATGTGCAGTGTCAGTAGGTATTCCTACATAACCCCTGCATAGTCTCTAGATTTTGGGGAGCTGGCAAAGCCCAGGTCCCCGGGAGAACGTCTATTTGCTGACGTACTCCTTCAATCAGGACTTCTCCTGCTTTGTTTGCGGCACCACAGCTGGATTCCGGGTCTTTGCCCTCGAAGACAATGCAAAGTCATCCACAATCTCTGAGAAGCTCAGACGTGAGCACTCGCCTGGATTCACACATAGCTCCGTGACTTGGCGGTAGCTTGGTATTTTTGATAGGTTTTGAAAGGTAGGGCTCATTTTTTGGGGACCTTTTTGTTTTTTCCTTGGTCCCTTGATCCTGTGGTCCTCCGGTCCCTTTCAAATGTGGTATTTTGCAGCATCTGAAATGCTCCCAGACAGGCAAGTTCTGTGATTTAGCAGTCGAAGCGTTCCAAGTACAATGGCAGTATTGGGCATGTTCCAAGACCAGCACATGCCGTAGTTTATAGCATTTGAAGCGTTCCAAGACCAGCACTGCTCTAATTTGCAGCATTTGAAAGGCATCAAGACCAGCAAAGGCTGTAATTGACAGCATTTGAAACCTTCCAATGTGGCTCAGTCCAGGTGTGGCTGTGGTGACTTGGTGCCGTGGTTCTCTTGCTTTCTTCTGCTTCCCGTTATCATTAGTCCTTTTGACCATGCCGGTCCGCTAGACCTGCAGTTCCTCCCAAACTCCTGCTTCTTTAGCGCCGTCCAGAGAAATACATGTCCTTACTTTTTTTCAGTAAGGTAAGGTTGTGTGGATCATGTTGTTGGCAAATGGCGGGGGCTGCAATACCCCCACATTTTAAGGTCATCCATGCTTGCTTGACATTGTTCCTTTTTGAATCATCTCATGACTTCCTTGATTTACCATCATGTTTCAGCATTTTTGGCCGCTTTTAGCGGTTTCGCATCATCCTTTTCATCTTCCATCATCTTTCAGCAATTTCCATGACTTTTCATCATTTTCATCCGTTTTTACCAGTTGTCATTGTCATTATATCATCACTCTCTATAATTTCAGGATCTTTAATCACATTTTATCATGTCTCATCATATTTTGCAAGTCTCATCTTCTCCATCATAATTTTCCATCATTTCCATGCGTTTTGATGATTTTCACATCTGTCGCAAATTTTCATCATTTTCGTTCCCATCATTTTCCATTATTTTCAGAATGTCTAGTACTTTTCATCGTTATCACTTCCCATAATCATTCTTCACAATTTTTGCTTCAGAATCACGCTCTCGTGCGAGGTGTCCTTCGATTCCGGGCCCTCAATCCAACAAAAAGACACTCCCAAAAAAAATCGAAAAAACAAATCAATGCTTTTGAACCATCAGATGACCATTAAGGCCCTGCAATTAATCCTAAGCAGGCTTCAGATGTTTTGGTGAACGCCCAGGTGATGCTGATCTCCATGCTCTTTAAGAGTGCCATCTTTGCGATGGTCAATCAGACCCTGGAGCCACAGGGCGAGCCAGCGCCGGGCTGCATGAACAAGGCAGCGAAATAAGGGCTTAGGAGGACCCCCCACCCTGTAATAGTGGTTTCATCGGAATATAAGAGGACCCTAATATAATCCCTATTATCCCCTATAGTCACTATTACTGGGTGGGGGGTCCACCTAAGCAATGGCAAATACACGAAACCCTAATAGGAGTAATTTCGTCTGTAACAAGAGCAATAGAGGTAACATAGCAGTACTTCTCATGACAATACTAGTTGGGGCCGAATAGATGTTGGGTAGGTTTGTAGTAATAATGACAACAATAGAGATCTGGGCTCGCAGCATGGCAAGGTGCGGGGAACAACCTTCCCCACAAGAGTGGAGTAATGTATTGATATAGTAATTTGGAGGCGTAGAGAGGCTTGGGGGTGGATGCGATTTTTTTAGGAGAATCCTGGAAAACGATTTGGTCCTGCTCTGATTGTTCCAGACTCGTAGCTGCTTGGGTCCAGGGCGAATCTCTCTATAATATACTAGAATATACTGCAATATTTGATAATTCAACATAATAGACTATCATACACTAGAATACAATAATATGTACTATATCTAGTATACTATAATACCCAAGGTTTTGTCGTTGGAGCTGCTCTTGAACAGCATGATTGCTGGCATGCTCTCATCGTTGCCGTCCGATCCGTCCTAGTAGGCCTGCTATGATAATGATAACCGTTCTTGTCTCCACCTCTCCGTTTTCAATGTTGCTGTTCTCGAAGATTGCTTCTGGCCCTCTGCCAGCCCCATGATAATCTCTGTAGTGCTCACTGATCATCCCACACCAAAAAATTGGGCCTTGTAGTGGTCCTTGAAGAGCCATGCCCTGGCGACAGGTTCAGGTTTGGGATGAGCGCAAGCAGAAGGTCATAGCAGAGCTCAGGTGCAGGAATGAGGTGAAGGGAGTCTGCCTTCACAAAGATGCGACCTGGCTGTGTTCTTATTTGGGCCTTTACAAAAAAAAGGGTCCTACTCATATACCCAGCCCGAAAAGGGATCCCTAGTTTTTGGTACAACTCCACTCCTACCCACCGCCACAGAATTCCACGCTTGTTTGTGGGTGTGGGTGTCGCTGACACAGTTGCCCAGAGTGCAGTGCATTGCAACGCAGCAGATATGCAGCTTTCGAAGGCAGCCCTTCTTGCACGGCACACGGATATGTTCATTGCAGCCAGCAGCTGAGGTCATAGTCATGGTCTGTGAGTATGTAATCTACGTCTACACTTCAGGGGAGCACTTGAAAGTCATCCTTCACCTGGACAGCTGCTTGAGTTTGCATGCATGTCCTTGGAGAGACATGCTGACAAAGCGGTGCCAATAATCACCTGTGAAGGGCCACAGATCATGTGAACGACGCTCGTAGCCGCACGATGGAAAGCAACATGAACACCAGTGCCAGTCAGAACAGTACTTGTGGCACTCGCGTGACACTTGCTCTGAGTTTGTTTGGTAGGACACTGGCTCCAACAAGCTGGGGCTTTGTGTTGTGGCCGTTGACAGCAATCCCTGGCTTCTCTGCTGCCCCGCCCAGTAGCTTGGCACGCGCATGGCATGTGCAATTGTCAATTGAAAGTTTTTACTCGGGGTGTGCATAAAGCCTGTTTTTTTGGGGCATCCTGCTACTGACGGTTGGCTTACTTTCCATTGTGATGCTGTGACGCGATGCGCTGTGCTGTGCCTGGACTGTAGATCTGATGTGTAGCGTTGCGTTGGCATAGGGTGACTGCTCTGAGGAACAAGGGAGCTGTGCGGATCCAGGCGCGCCTCAAAATCCGGCGCTTGATGTCGGGTGATGTCTGTGTGACTTACGGCCTTTGGCTGTGCATGTGGAAAAACTATAGACTATACCGGAACATTCTGTGGCATGGCAGCGTGGTCCCACATAACCACATCAATGGGGAATGTGACGCGCGATCACCATCAAGGAAGAACCGGCGGGAGTTAATTAGAGCACAAGTGGAAGGGAGGCATGTGGAGATCCTAAGACATTCTCAAGAGATGGCAGAGAGGGCTTGAAGGCCCCGAAGTCTGGCAGAAGTAGGGAAGATCATGAGGCGAGGCCTGCCGGAGAGAAAGATTGTCCACCCCTAAAGGCACAAGTACCCACGATGGACGCGCAGCCACTGGGGCTCACACTCTGTCAGGGTCAAATGTAACAAAGAAGCGCCAGCATGCAAAATCCAACTCCAACCCCTGGTTGAGGTCAGCAGAAATCAAACTTGTGGTTGCAAGAGCTTGTCAGGCAGGCCAGGATGCTGGGGCGACCCACGTCTTCCAGGACATTCTCGCGTGTTTTGCGTGCTTTGTCGTCCTGTCACCAGCACCCACGGGCATTTGCAGGCTCATCAATCAGGGTTGGCAGCATTGGCCTTGAATTCGTCGGGCTCACTGCTGGCCACGGCTTCAGAGTCGGGCACAGCCTCTCGGCTTTGAAGCACTGCGCCATGACCAGGGACAGCCAACTGCAATCAGGCAAATCGCCTCAGTTTAGCACCTTTTCATGGATGTCCCTCTGGAATCCTTCCCCACCTTGCTGCCGCAGTGTGATAAGACTGTCCTAGAACATGTGGCTTTTGTACTGGCACTGGTGCCTCTGCTTCACCGTGCCGAGGTTGCAAAGGTCTTCCGCACGTCAGATGGCCAGGCACTTTACAGGCAATCCAGGGCTCACTGGGCGAAGATGCTGGTAGCAGGTTGTATGCCAGAGGTCTGCGAGGGTTTGTAATCTTGACTTGCGGAAGGTTACGAAGAAGCACTCGTTCCGCCGTGATTTCAAGTCTTGCCTTCCGGTCAGACGACAACTTTCTCGCTATGGCGCAGCTTGGCTAGCGTTGCATTTTGCTCCTGATGCATGGAGATTCAGTGGTCTTGGCCCGAGGTCGTCCTCTGCAACTGTGCATATCTTCAAGCTGGACAGCTCTACGGCAGAGGTCGACACCGACAAGGCAGACAAGGACAAGGAGAACTCTTCTCCGGCATTTGGCCCCCAAGATCCACCGCGGTCAAGTCTGTCAGGGACCCTCTCGGCGTTGCACACTTTGCAGTCCAAAGCCACAGAGGCCGTGCGCAGCCTGACGCCATATCTGGCTGATCTCCGGAGCTTTGGGCAGTTCCGCTTGCCTGACATGGACGGTGGCCAGCCTGCTGTTGACACTCGCAGCAAGCAGTCAAAGATTACGGGCCCCATCCTGGCTTTCCACAAGACAGAGCCGCGGCTGTACGTTCTGCACTTCAACGGCTTCCTTTACGAGTGCAGCTTCCAGCCGGACTACGACCTGAGTCGGGGAGCGCAGGAATGCGGTTTTGTGGCAGCGACAACCTGGTTTGCCACACGTCCAGATTTCAAGGTCTCCGCGCCCATCACCGAATTAAAAACAGAGCCAGGAGGGGAGAACGAAGGTGATGAGGCTGAGGAATGGCAACTTCTGTAGAGCTTTGGGCGTCCGTGTGCAGCTGGACAGCCTGTCGCGTCGCATGTGTCGCCTAATGCAACTGTTGTTTAGACCCTTTGAACAGTGGGTTCAGTTAGAGAAGTTTCTGCCTCTCTGACCCAAAGAGCAGGGAAGCTGGGGTTAACAAAATGGCCCTGCATGCTCATCGCGTTTCAGGCTGCATCCTTACATCTTCATTATATAGTTGTCTACGTAATAGTTCCCCAGACTAGGCTAGGCCCCAAAATACCATAGTTCTTATTATGGGGACCCCTAAAAAGGCATCCCTCACTTTGGGAAACCCCACATGTCATGAGACTGAGGGGCCTTGGCCAAAGTTGCACTTCGCCGAGTCATCGAGGCCTTAGCCCCGGTGTCTTTGCTCAGCCACGGCTGCGGAAGGAATTCCTTGATGGGGATTTCCAAAATTAGGGGTCCTGTTTTTAGGGGTGCCCATGATTCGTTTCATGGTCTATTTTGGGGTGCCCCTACTGATGAAAACTGTCAGATAGAAGCGTGCACACACTTGTAGGCAGTAGGCCTGTGTCTGCGGCACGCCGTGCTATGGATGTGCTATGTGTATGTTATTGTATGTTTTGAAGAGGGTGCAACAGCAACTTGAGGCTTCCGAGCATGCAGCAGAAGCAACGCTGGAGGCACTGGCAGCCTGAACAATCGCAGTGTATGTGCAGGACGAGCGTGGCAACAATTTACAGCTGCTGGCAAACTGTGTTTGTCATTCCCTGCAAGCGTTGCGTGAGCGCTAGGTCCTGGACCCACGTCCCAAGGAGCAGGCAGGGAAGCTACCTGTAATCCTACGGCTTACTGGTGGTTAGTAGGGAATAAGATTCTGCAGGCATTGTACAGCGGTCATAGATCCTCATTTTACTATAACCCAAATATATACCAAATCATGATACAGTGGTTTCCATTTTCTTTTTCCGTGATCCCTATAGTCCCGCATTCCCTACTAACCCCCGGTAAGGTGCGTACCAACCCTAAATCCTAAACCCTAAACCCTAAATTCTACACCCTAAATTCTACACCCTAAATCCTACATCCTAAATCCTAAATCCTGAACCCTAAACCCTACACCCTAAATCCTAAACCCTAAACCCTAAACTCCCTAAACCCTAAACCCTAAACCCTAAATCCTAACTAGGCTAGCAGCCCACACGTGTGCGACCACGCAGGTGGCCCGGGAGGACTCGGAGGACGCCCTGAGCTCCGCCTCGGGGCCCTCCGAGCCTTCGGAGCCCGAGGAGCCTGAGGAGCCTAGGGTTTAGGGTTTAGG